TGAGTCTATGGGCAGTGTTGAGTCTGTGGGCAGTGTTGAGTCTATGGGCAGTGTTAGGTATATGGGCAGTGTTGAGTCTATGGGCAGTGTTGAGTCTATGGGTAGTCTTGAGTCTATGGGCAGTGTTTAGTCTATGGGCAGTGTTGAGTCTATGGGCAGTGTTGAGTCTATGGGCAGTGTTGAGTCTATGGGTAGTGTTGAGTCTATGGGCAGTGTTGAGTCTATGGGCAGTGTTGAGTCTATGGGTAGTGTTGAGTCTATGGGTTGTGTTGAGTCTATGGACAGTGTTGAGTCTATGGGCAGTATTGAGTCTATGGGCAGTGTTGAGTCTATGGGTAGTGTTGAGTCTATGGGTAGTGTTGAGTCTATGGTGCAGTGTTGAGTCTATGGGTAGTGTTGAGTCTATGGGCAGTGTTGAGTCTATGGGTAGTATTGAGTCTATGGGTAGTGTTGAGTCTATGGGCAGTGTTGAGTCTATGGGCAGTGTTGAGTCTATGGGCAGTATTGAGTCTATGGGTAGTGTTGAGTCTATGGGTAGTGTTGAGTCTATGGGTAGTGTTGAGTCTATGGGTAGTGTTGAGTCTATGGTGCAGTGTTGAGTCTATGGGTAGTGTTGAGTCTATGGGCAGTGTTGAGTCTATGGGTAGTATTGAGTCTATGGGCAGTGTTGAGTCTATGGGTAGTGTTGAGTCTGTGGGTAGTGTTGAGTCTATGGGCAGTGTTGAGTCTATGGGTAGTATTGAGTCTATGGGCAGTGTTGAGTCTATGGGCAGTGTTGAGTCTATGGGTAGTGTTGAGTCTATGGGCAGTGTTGAGTCTATGGGTAGTATTGAGTCTATGGGCAGTGTTGAGTCTATGGGCAGTGTTGAGTCTATGGGTAGTGTTGAGTCTATGGGTAGTGTTGAGTCTATGGGTAGTGTTGAGTCTATGGTGCAGTGTTGAGTCTATGGGTAGTGTTGAGTCTATGGGCAGTGTTGAGTCTATGGGTAGTATTGAGTCTATGGGCAGTGTTGAGTCTATGGGTAGTGTTGAGTCTATGGGCAGTGTTGAGTCTATGGGTAGTATTGAGTCTATGGGCAGTGTTGAGTCTATGGGCAGTGTTGAGTCTATGGGCAGTGTTGAGTCTATGGGTAGTGTTGAGTCTATGGGTAGTGTTGAGTCTATGGGCAGTGTTGAGTCTATGGGTAGTGTTGAGTCTATGGGCAGTGTTGAGTCTATGGGTAGTGTTGAGTCTATGGGCAGTGTTGAGTCTATGGGCAGTGTTGAGTCTATGGGCAGACTTACCCGGCCGGGTACGGGTACGGCCGGGTACGGGTAGGGTACGGGTACGGGTAGGGTACGGGTACGGGTAGGGTACGGGTACGGCCGGGTACGGGTACGGCCGGGTACGGGTACGGGTAGGGTACGGGTACGGGTAGGGTACGGGTACGGGTACGGGTACGGGTACGGGTAGGGTACGGGTACGGGTAGGGTACGGGTACGGGTAGGGTACGGGTACGGGTAGGGTACGGGTACGGGTAGGGTACGGGTACGGGTAGGGTACGGGTACGGGTAGGGTACGGGTACGGGTACGGGTAGGGTACGGGTAGGGTACGGGTACGGGTAGGGTACGGGTACGGGTAGGGTACGGGTAGGGGTACGGGTACGGGTACGGGTAGGGTACGGGTACGGGTAGGGTACGGGTACGGGTAGGGTACGGGTACGGGTAGGGTACGGGTACGGGTAGGGTACGGGTACGGGTAGGGTACGGGTACGGGTAGGGTACGGGTACGGGTAGGGAATCAAAACCCGTTTGCGACCTCTGCTACGACCAGCACTTGCCCTCAACAGTCTGTCACAGGCTCTTCGTAGAGATCGTTAAGCCACGTGGTAGTCTCCGGTGAGGCTAGGTGGTGGAACGTCGGTGATATTTTCGGCAAACCGGCGGCACGTGTAGAGTGGTGCGTGATGGCCGGGTCAGCCTCGAAGCCTGTCCATATGTAGTGACATAAGAAGGGAGGGGCTGCTGGGGGCTCTGGGATCCCAGGCGAGTCCAGACACTTAAGCCTCTGGGCGCCAGGCGTTGGGTTCCCAGGGGGTCCAGACGCTTAAGCCTCTGGGCGCCAGGCGTTGGGTTCCCAGGGGGTCCAGACACTTAAGCCTCTGGGCGCCAGGCGTTGGGTTCCCAGGGGGTCTAGACGCTTAAGCCTCTGGGCGCCAGGCGCTGGGTTCCCAGGGGGTCTAGACGCTTAAGCCTCTGGGCGCCAGGCGTTGGGTTCCCAGGGGGTCCAGACGCTTAAGCCTCTGGGCGCCAGGCGTTGGGTTCCCAGGGGGTCCAGACGCTTAAGCCTCTGGGCGCCAGGCACTGGGTTCCCAGGGGGTCCAGACGCTTAAGCCTCTGGGCGCCAGGCGCTGGGTTCCCAGGGGGTCCAGACGCTTAAGCCTCTGGGCGCCAGGCGTTGGGTTCCCAGGGGGTCCAGACGCTTAAGCCTCTGGGCGCCAGGCACTGGGTTCCCAGGGGGTCCAGACGCTTAAGCCTCTGGGCGCCAGGCGCTGGGTTCCCAGGGGGTCCAGACGCTTAAGCCTCTGGGCGCCAGGCGCTGGGTTCCCAGGCGCTTAAGCCTTTTGGCGCCGCCAACGGGGGGGAGGGCTGTGTGTGCTCTGTGGGATGTCTGGTGGCGCACACGGCCCCACCCCTCGTTGGACCAGGCATAAAAGGAGAGCTCCCTGGACGATCGGGGCCCAGTTGTAACTCAAGACCCAAGACCCACGACCAGCCATCTGAAGACCCTGTGAGGCTGTGAGAGCCAGCGCTGGGACTCTGGAACTCCCGACTCTACGACCTTGTGAGGGCGAGTCCAGAGCGTAGCCAGAGTAGAGTATCTAGAGTATCTAGGCTGTGTAGCTAGGCTGTGTACCTAGGCTGTAACAGAGTATCAGGACTGTTGGAGTGTTGTATTGTAATAAAGAAGTTACCTCTACAAGTGTCTCCGGAACCCGTTACACATAGGTTGACTCTACCCCATGAATGGGTTGTAAATAGTTGTTGTTGTTGTCGTTATGACGGTGGGGCTTGCAGGAGAATGAGCGCTTGAAGCAGGAGGTGCTGGAGAGGAGCGGCAAGATCGAGCAGCAGAACGAGAAGATCGGCGATCTGCTGCAGAGAAACCAGAGGTCCTCGATTCACGCCGTGGTCGTGACCACACACGTGACCACGCACGTGACCACGCACGTGACCACGCACGTGACCACGCACGTGACCACGCACGTGACCACGCACGTGACCACGCACGTGACCACGCACGTAATTACACACGTGATCACACACGTGACCACACAGGTGACTACGCACGTGATTACGCACGTGATCACGCGCGTGACCACGCGCGTGACCACACGCGTGACCACACGCGTGACCACACGCGTGATTACACGCGTGACCACACGCGTGACCACACGCGTGACCACACGCGTGACCACACGCGTGACCACACGCGTGACCACACGCGTGACCACACACGTGATTACACGCGTGACCACACGCGTGACCACACACGTGATTACACACGTGTGTGTTTGTGCTGCTCTTTGGTTTTCTTCGGTAAAGTCACGTAGGTAAAATAATAGAATACAATAATAACAAATGAAAATAACTACATTAAATCACTACGTTTTCGGAAGCAACACAAGCCTCCGTCATCAGGTGTAACTGCTCCAGTAAAATTACCGTACACCTGATGACGTCGTGATTTAATTTAGTTATTTTCATTTATTACTATTTTATTTTTATTAATTTTTTTAACTACATTCCTTTACCGAAATTAAAACCTAAGAGTATGAATCCTTGCAGTCACGAAAGCTTCAAATCTAAAAGTTTCATCTTCTTGGTTCTTTCAGTAAAGTCACGTAGAAGGGAAGTAATAAAATAATAAAAATAAAACATAATAAAATAATATAATAAAATAATATAATAATATAATATAATAAAATAATTATTATATTTCTTCCCTTCTACGTGACTTTACCGAAAGAACCGAGAAGATGAATCCCTGCAGTCACGAAAGCTTTAAATCGAAATCTAGAAATTTGTGCTGCTACTCGCCAAAGGCACTTGCCCCAACAGGCTTATTGAGGCTACACGCTTGTGGGGGGGATCTTTGTCTTTGTTTGCAGGTATGTGGAGCAGAGTAATCTTCTGCTTGAGCAGAGGAACGACTCGTTCAAGAACACGACGGAACAGAACCAAGGGCGAGTGCTCACCCTGGAACAAGACAAGGTAGCACTCATCACCCAGTCCGTATCACTCATCACCCTGTCCGTATCACTCATCACCCTGTCCGTATCACTCCTAACCCTGTCCGTATCACTCATCACCCTGTCCGTATCACTCCTAACCCTGTCCGTATCACTCATCACCCTGTCCGTATCACTCCTCACCCTGTCCGTATCACTCCTAACCCTGTCCGTATCACTCGTCACCCTGTCCGTATCACTCCTAACCCTGTCCGTATCACTCATCACCCTGTCCGTATCACTCATCACCCTGTCCGTATCACTCATCACCCTGTCCGTATCACTCGTCACCCTGTCCGTATCACTCCTCACCCTGTCCGTATCACTCCTAACCCTGTCCGTATCACTCATCACCCTGTCCGTATCACTCGTCACCCTGTCCGTATCACTCATCACCCTGTCCGTATCACTCGTCACCCTGTCCGTATCACTCATCACCCTGTCCGTATCACTCATCTCCCTGTCCGTATCACTCGTCACCCTGTCCGTATCACTCCTCACCCTATCCGTATCACTCATCACCCTGTCCGTATCACTCCTCACCCTGTCCGTATCACTCATCACCCTGTCCGTATCACTCCTCACCCTGTCCGTATCACTCATCACCCTGTCCGTATCACTCCTAACCCTGTCCGTATCACTCCTAACCCTGTCCGTATCACTCATCACCCTGTCCGTATCACTCCTCACCCTGTCCGTATCACTCATCACCCTGTCCGTATCACTCGTCACCCTGTCCGTATCACTCATCACCCTGTCCGTATCACTCGTCACCCTGTCCGTATCACTCATCACCCTGTCCGTATCACTCATCACCCTGTCCGTATCACTCGTCACCCTGTCCGTATCACTCCTCACCCTGTCCGTATCACTCATCACCCTGTCCGTATCACTCCTCACCCTGTCCGTATCACTCATCACCCTGTCCGTATCACTCCTCACCCTGTCCGTATCACTCATCACCCTGTCCGTATCACTCCTAACCCTGTCCGTATCACTCCTAACCCTGTCCGTATCACTCATCACCCTGTCCGTATCACTCCTCACCCTGTCCGTATCACTCATCACCCTGTCCGTATCACTCCTCACCCTGTCCGTATCACTCGTCACCCTGTCCGTATCACTCATCACCCTGTCCGTATCACTCCTAACCCTGTCCGTATCACTCATCACCCTGTCCGTATCACTCCTCACCCTGTCCGTATCACTCCTAACCCTGTCCGTATCACTCATCACCCTGTCCGTATCACTCGTCACCCTGTCCGTATCACTCATCACCCTGTCCGTATCACTCGTCACCCTGTCCGTATCACTCCTCACCCTGTCCGTATCACTCATCACCCTGTCCGTATCACTCCTCACCCTGTCCGTATCACTCATCACCCTGTCCGTATCACTCCTCACCCTGTCCGTATCACTCATCACCCTGTCCGTATCACTCCTAACCCTGTCCGTATCACTCCTAACCCTGTCCGTATCACTCATCACCCTGTCCGTATCACTCCTCACCCTGTCCGTATCACTCATCACCCTGTCCGTATCCCTCCTCACCCTGTCCGTATCACTCGTCACCCTGTCCGTATCACTCCTAACCCTGTCCGTATCACTCGTCACCCTGTCCGTATCACTCATCACCCTGTCCGTATCACTCCTAACCCTGTCCGTATCACTCATCACCCTCTCCGTATCACTCATCACCCTCTCCGTATCACTCCTAACCCTGTCCGTATCACTCATCACCCTCTCCGTATCACTCATCACCCTGTCCGTATCACTCGTCACCCTGTCCGTATCACTCCTAACCCTGTCCGTATCACTCGTCACCCTGTCCGTATCACTCCTAACCCTTATCGTATCACTCCTTACTCTGTCCGTATCACTCCTTACTCTTCATAATGAACGTTTTTGGGGTCAGATCGCGCTATTTATAAATGTGTCGTAACCCTCCACCACCCGACATGGCCAATCGGTAAAAAAGTGTCACGTTGACAAAAGACAAATAGTTCGCTGCTTTAGCACACCGGTGTGTCGAAGCGTGAAACCACAACATTTACAATTTGAGTAGCACGACATTTCGCTGGTAATTGCATCCAGCATCATCGGGCAATTCGCCAGAATGGGTGGTGGAGGGTTACGACACATTTATAAATAACGCGATCTAAACCCAAAAACGTTGATTATTAATAATATTGGTCGCGAAAGCCTGCTACGTGTGAAACTGACTCCTTACTCTGTCCGTATCACCCTTCACCCAACCATATCACTCCTCACATCCTAACCGTATCATTCCTTACCACCATAACCGTATCACCGAAGCCCCCCCACCCCTCCACCCCTCCCCCCCTCCCCCCTCCCCCCCTCCCTCCTCCTCCCCTCCCCCACCTCCTCCTCCTCCGCCACGTTGTACCACACGGGCATCGCCTCCGATAACGATGACTCTCTCTCCCCCTGTCTCTCTCTCTCTCGGCTCATGCGCCCGCACCGCAGGTGTCCCACGCACAGGTGAGACAAACCATCACGGTGGCTAGGAGATGTTGACTACCTCGCCTGGTATGCAGGAGGTCGTGGGTTCGATCCCGACCCTGACGCCTGCTGCTGTATATTTGGAGTTTGCGTGTCTCTCTCTCATCATCATCACGGTGGCTAGGAGATGTTAACTACCTCGCCTGGTGTACAGGAGGTCGTGGGTTCGATCCCGACCCTGACGGCTGCTGCTGTATATTTGGAGTTTGCGTGTCTCTCTCTCATCATCATCACGGTGGCTAGGAGATGTTAACTACCTCGCCTGGTGTACAGGAGGTCGTGGGTTCAATCCCGACCCTGATGCCTGCTGCTGTATATTTGGAGTTTGCGTGTCTCTCTCATCATCATCACGGTGGCTAGGAGATGTTAACTACCTCGCCTGGTGTGCAGGAGGCCGTGGGTTCGATCCCGACCCTGACGCCTGCTGCTGTATATTTGGAGTTTGCGTGTCTCTCTCTCTCTCTCATCATCATCACAGTGGCTAGGAGATGTTAACTACCTCGCATGGTATACAGGAGGTCGTGGGTTCGATCCCGACCCTGACGCCTGCTGCTGTAAATCTCCACGCGACGTTGACGATGATGACGACGATGACGACGACGACGATGAATACGACGATGACGACGAGATGATGACGATGATGATGACGATGATGATGACGACGATGATGATGACCGATGATGATGATGACGATGATGATGACGATGATGATGACTACGATGACGACGACGATGAGGACGACGACGACGATGATGACGACGATGATGACGACGACGATGACGACGATGATAACGACGACGATGACGATGATGACGATGATGATGACGATGACGTCGCGTCTGATAAAGAGCTACGTAGCAGCTCAGTGAGGCCTTACCTGGTAAAACAATAAGTAAATATAGATAAATAAATAACTTTTCATGTCTTTTGGTTTCCGACCCAGACGTTTCGATGCGTGCGGCAAACCCCGGTAATAACCGGTTGGTACCGGTTATAATAACCGGTAATTACCGATTTTCTTCCCCCGTGCGGTTACCGGCGACACAACATTAAGGGGCGCGACGGGGACGCCGCCGATGCAGAGTCGCGATTTGTGTGTCGTTCTTCCAGGAGGCTCAACGCTGCTGCCTCCTCCCTCCTCCCCCCTCCCCCCTCTTCCCTCCCCCCTCTTCCCTCCCTCCCTCCTCCCTTCTCCCTCCTCGCTCCTCCCTCCTCTTCTCTCCTCTTCCCTCCTCCTCCCTCCTTTTCCTCCTCCTCCCTCCTCCCTCCTCCCCCCTCTTCCCTCCTCCTTTTCCCTCCCTCCTCCATCCCCCTCCTCCATCCCCTCCTCCTCCCTCCTCCCTCTTCCTCTTCCCCTGCCTCCTCCCTCCTCCTCCTCTTCCCTCCTCCTCCCTCCTCCCTCCTCCCTCTTCCTCTTCCCCCCTCCTCCCTCCTCCTCCTCCTCCTCCCTCCTCCCTCTTCCTCTTCCCCCCTCCTCCCTCCTCCTCCCTCCTCCTCCTCTTCCCCCCTCCTCCCTCCCTCCTCCCTCCTCCCTCCTCCCTCCTCCCTCTTCCTCTTCCCTCCTCCTCCCCCTTCCACCTCCCCCCTCCCTCCTCCGCGTCCCAGGCCCGGCTCACGGAGGCGCTGGCCCAGGTGACTGCCCAGCTGACGGGTGCCCAGGGGCAGCTGGCTGCCAGCCGCTCGCAGCAGCAGGAGGCGGACGGCCGCCTGCAGGGAGCCCAGGCGGAGGCGGCGGCACGGGGGGCGGAGGTGGTGGAGCTGGGGGAGCAGCTGAGCGGTGAGGAGGTCGCCCCGGCCCTGGGGGGGGGGGGAGGGGTGGTGGGCGCGTGGAGACAGTGGAATTGATGACGATGATGACGATGGAGCTGATGACGACGATGATGACGGTAGAGTTGATGACGATGATGACGATGATGACGATGATGACGAGGATGGCGAGGATGGAGTTGATGACGATGATGACGACAATGGAGTTGATGACGAGGATGACGCTGCTGCTGCTACTGCTGCTGCTACTGCTGCTGCCGCTGCTGCTGCGACTTCTACTGCTGCTGCTGCTGCCGCTGCTGCTGCGGATATTGCTGCTGCTGCTACTACTGCTGCTGCTGCTACTACTGCTGCTGCTGCTGCTACTGCTGCTGCTGCTACTACTACTGCTGCTGCTGCTACTACTGCTGCTGCTGCTGCCGCTGCTGCTGCGGATATTGCTGCTGCTACTACTGCTGCTGCTGCTGCTACTGCTGCTGCTGCTACTACTGCTGCTGCTACTACTGCTGCTGCTGCTGCCGCTGCTGCTGCGGATATTGCTGCTGCTGCTGCTACTACTGCTGCTGCTGCTACTACTGCTGCTGCTGCTGCTGCCGCTGCTGCTACTGCTGCTGCTGCTACTACTGCTGCTGCTACTACTGTTACTGCTGCTACTACTACTGCTGCTACTGCTGCTGCTACTGCTGCTACTACTGCTGCTGCTGCTACTGCTACTACTACTGCTGCTGCTGCTGCTCCTGCTGCTGCTACTGCTGCTGCTGCTGCTGCTCCTGCTGCTGCTACTGCTGCTGCTGCTCCTGCTGCTGCTGTTGCCCAGCCGTGCGGGAGGAGCTGCGCCGCTCCCAGGAGGCGCTGCGGTGCGAGCGAGCTCAGCTCCACGAGACGCGGCTCGGCACGCAGACGCTGCAGCAGGAGGTCGGAGAGCTCCGTGACAGCAAGGCGGCCGTCGAAAAGGTGACCCCCACCCCCCCCTCCCCCCCTCCCCCGTGTGTCTTTCCATGTTTGTCCCACCGTGTGTCTCCCTGCATCTCCCTGCGTGTCCCCGTGTGTCTCCCCACGTCTCCCCCCGCGTCTCTCTGTGCGTCTCCCCACGTGTCTCCCCCCGTGTGTCTCCCCGTGTGTCTCCCCACGTCTCCTCCCGCGTCTCTCTGTGCGTCTCCCCACGTGTCTCCCCGTGTGTCTCCCCGTGTGTCTCCCCACATGTCTCCCCGTGTGTCTCCCCGTGTCTCCCCCCGTGTGTCTCCCCGTGTGTCTCCCCATGTTTGTCCCACCGTGCGTCTCCTCGTGTGTCCCCCGTGTCTCCCCGTGTGTGCCCTGTGTCTCCCATGCATCTCCCTGCGTCTCCCCGTGTGTCTCCCCATCTGTCTCCCCGCGTCTCTCCCCGTATCTCTCCCCGCGTCTCTCCCCCCGCGTGTCTCCCCGTGTGTGCCCTGTATCTCCCATGCATCTCCCCATGTGTCTCCCCGTGTGTCTCCCCATATGTCTCCCCGCGTCTCCCCCCTTGTGTCTTCCCGCGTCTCCCCCGTGTGTCTTCTCCCCGTGTGTCGTCTCCCCGTGTGTCTCCCCGTGTGTCTCCCCGCGTCCCCCCGTGTCTCTCCCCGCGTCTCCCGTCCCCCTCTCCCCCGTGACCTCTGCCTCTGCGCGTGGCGCAGGCCTCGCTGGAGCGCGAGCGGCGCCGCGCCGACGACGACGACGAGCGCCGGTGCGAGGAGCTGCGGCTGGCGCACGACGCCCAGCTGCTCGCGCTCCGGGAGCAGCTGCAGAGGGGCCCCCAAACCCAGCAGGTGGCACCGGGGGGGGGGTCACGGGGGGTCACGGGGGGTAGCGGGGGGTCGCGGGGGGTCACGGGGGGTCGGGGTGAAGGTATAACGGGAGCTTCGGTGGGTATCTGAACCGGTCCTGGGCCTCACATTGGTCGACTCAATCGAGTAGCTGGTGCGGTGAGTAGTGAACATCGCCACTGGGGAGACAAAGGCGGCCGGGCGTGGCGCTGGCCACCCACCGTCCTCGTGTGCCACAGTGCGGGCAGTGTTGAGTCTATGGGCAGTGTTGAGTCTATGGGCAGTGTTGAGTCTATGGGCAGTGTTGAGTCTATGGGCAGTGTTGAGTCTATGGGCAGTGTTGAGTCTATGGGCAGTGTTGAGTCTATGGGCAGTGTTGAGTCTATGGGCAGTGTTGAGTCTATGGGCAGTGTTGAGTCTATGGGCAGTGTTGAGTCTATGGGCAGTGTTGAGTCTATTGGCAGTGTTGAGTCTATGGGCAGTGTTGAGTCTATGGGCAGTGTTGAGTCTATGGGCAGTGTTGAGTCTATGGGCAGTGTTGAGTCTATGGGCAGTGTTGAGTCTATGGGCAGTGTTGAGTCTATGGGCAGTGTTGAGTCTATCGTGTTGAGTCTATTGGCAGTGTTGAGTCTATGGGCAGTGTTGAGTCTATGGGTAGTTGTTGAGTCTATTGGCAGTGTTGAGTCTATTGGCAGTGTTGAGTCTATGGGCAGTGTTGAGTCTATGGGCAGTGTTGAGTCTATGGGCAGTGTTGAGTCTATGGGCAGTGTTGAGTCTATGGGCAGTGTTGAGTCTATGGGCAGTGTTGAGTCTATGGGCAGTGTTGAGTCTATGGGCAGTGTTGAGTCTATGGGCAGTGTTGAGTCTATGGGCAGTGTTGAGTCTATGGGCAGTGTTGAGTCTATGGGCAGTGTTGAGTCTATGGGCAGTGTTGAGTCTATGGCAGTGTTGAGTCTATGGTAGTGTTGAGTCTATGGGCAGTGTTGAGTCTATGGGCAGTGTTGAGTCTATGTAGTGTTGAGTCTATGTAGTGTTGAGTCTATGGCAGTGTTGAGTCTATGGGCAGTGTTGAGTCTATGGGCAGTGTTGAGTCTATGGGCAGTGTTGAGTCTATGGGTGTTGAGTCTATGGGCAGTGTTGAGTCTATGGAGTGTTGAGTCTATGGGCAGTGTTGAGTCTATGGTGCAGTGTTGAGTCTATGGGCAGTGTTGAGTCTATGGGCAGTGTTGAGTCTATGGCAGTGTTGAGTCTATGGGCAGTGTTGAGTCTATGGGCAGTGTTGAGTCTATGGGCAGTGTTGAGTCTATGGGCAGTGTTGAGTCTATGGGCAGTGTTGAGTCTATGGGCAGTGTTGAGTCTATGGGCAGTGTTGAGTCTATGGGTAGTGTTGAGTCTATGGGCAGTGTTGAGTCTATGGGCAGTGTTGAGTCTATGGCAGTGTTGAGTCTATGGGGAGTGTTGAGTCTGTGGGCAGTGTTGAGTCTATGGACAGTGTTGAGTCTATGGTAGTGTTGAGTCTATGGGCAGTGTTGAGTCTATGGGCAGTGTTGAGTCTATGGGCAGTGTTGAGTCTATGGGCAGTGTTGAGTCTATGGCAGTGTTGAGTCTATGGGCAGTGTTGAGTCTATGGTAGTGTTGAGTCTATGGGCAGTGTTGAGTCTATGGGCAGTGTTGAGTCTATGGGCAGTGTTGAGTCTATGGGCAGTGTGAGTCTATGGGTAGTGTTGAGTATATGGGCAGTGTTGAGTCTATGGGCAGTGTTGAGTCTATGGGCAGTGTTGAGTCTATGGGCAGTGTTGAGTCTATGGGCAGTGTTGAGTCTATGGCAGTGTTGAGTCTATGGGCAGTGTTGAGTCTATGGGCAGTGTTGAGTCTATGGGCAGTGTTGAGTCTATGGCAGTGTTGAGTCTATGGGTGGCAGTGTTGAGTCTATGGTAGTGTTGAGTCTATGGGTAGTGTTGAGTCTATGGGCAGTGTTGAGTCTATGGGCAGTGTTGAGTCTATGGTAGTGTTGAGTCTATGGGCAGTGTTGAGTCTATGGGCAGTGTTTCTATGGGCAGTGTTGAGTCTATGGGCAGTGTTGAGTCTATGGTGCAGTGTTGAGTCTATGGCAGTGTTGAGTCTATGGGCAGTGTTGAGTCTATGGGCAGTGTTTCTATGGGCAGTGTTGAGTCTATGGGCAGTGTTGAGTCTATGGGCAGTGTTGAGTCTATGGCAGTGTTGAGTCTATGGGCAGTGTTGAGTCTATGGGCAGTGTTGAGTCTATGGGCAGTGTTGAGTCTATGGGCAGTGTTGAGTCTATGGCAGTGTTAGTCTATGGCAGTGTTGAGTCTATGGGCAGTGTTGAGTCTGTGGTGCAGTGTTGAGTCTATGGGCAGTGTTGAGTCTATGGGCAGTGTTGAGTCTATGGGCAGTGTTGAGTCTATGGGCAGTGTTGAGTCTATGGGCAGTGTTGAGTCTATGCAGTGTTGAGTCTATGGGCAGTGTTGAGTCTATGGTGCAGTGTTAGTCTATGGGCAGTGTTGAGTCTATGGGCAGTGTTGAGTCTATGGGCAGTGTTGAGTCTATGGGCAGTGTTGAGTCTATGGGCAGTGTTGAGTCTATGGTGCAGTGTTGAGTCTATGGGCAGTGTTGAGTCTATGGCAGTGTTGAGTCTATGGGCAGTGTTGAGTCTATGGGCAGTGTTGAGTCTATGGGCAGTGTTGAGTCTATGGTGCAGTGTTGAGTCTATGGGCAGTGTTGAGTCTATGGGCAGTGTTGAGTCTATGGACAGTGTTGAGTCTATGAGTAGTGTTGAGTCTACGGGCAGTGTTGAGTCTACGGGCAGTGTTGAGTCTATGGACAGTGTTGAGTCTACGGGCAGTGTTGAGTCTATGGCAGTGTTGAGTCTATGGCAGTGTTGAGTCTATGACAGTGTTGAGTCTATGACAGTGTTGAGTCTATGGTAGTGTTGAGTCTATGACAGTGTTGAGTCTATGGTAGTGTTGAGTCTATGGGCAGTGTTGAGTCTAGGGCAGTGTTGAGTCTATGGACAGTGTTGAGTCTATGGGTAGTGTTGAGTCTATGGGCAGTGTTGTCTATGGGCAGTGTTGAGTCTATGGGCAGTGTTGAGTCTATGGGCAGTGTTGAGTCTATGGGTAGTGTTGAGTCTATGGGTAGTGTTGAGTCTATGGGCAGTGTTGAGTCTATGGGTAGTGTTGAGTCTATGGGCAGTGTTGAGTCTATGGGCAGTGTTGAGTCTATGGGTAGTGTTGAGTCTATGGGCAGTGTTGAGTCTATGGGCAGTGTTGAGTCTATGGGCAGTGTTGAGTCTATGGGCAGTGTTGAGTCTATGGGTAGTGTTGAGTCTATGGGCAGTGTTGAGTCTATGGGCAGTGTTGAGTCTATGGGCAGTGTTGAGTCTATGGGCAGTGTTGAGTCTATGGGCAGTGTTGAGTCTATGGGCAGTGTTGAGTATATGGGCAGTGTTGAGTCTATGGGTAGCTGCTACTCGCTGCTAACAGCACTTGCCCCGTCCCTCTGTTGAGGCTACACGGCGGAGTGGGACAACCTTTGTCTCTGTCTGTGTTTGTCTCAGCTGTCTGCGCTGCGTGCAGAGTTGGAGGAGCAACAGGCGGCCTCCCTGCAGAAGCTCCAGGCGGAGAGAGACGCCCTGCGGAGAGAGAGGGACGACCTCCTGGAAAAGGCCGCTCGCTTCCAGACCGAGGTACAGATTTGGGAATCAGAATGTTGACGTAGTACTGTGGTAGGAGCAATCCTCTTTTGTTTCCCACAGATGTCCAGTAGGGGGGGTATAGGGTCAGAAGGTCCCAACAGCAAACACGATTCACACAAACGCAACACAAACACAATTCACACAAACACAATTCACACAAACACAATTTACACAAACACGATTCACACAAACACAATTCACACGAACACAATTCACACAAACACTATTCACACAAACACGATTCACACAAACACAATTCACACAAACACAACACAAACACAATTCACACAAACACAACACAAACACAATTCACACAAACACAACACAAACACAATACAACACAAACACAATTCACACAAACACTATTCACACAAACACGATTCACACAAACACAATTCACACAAACACAACACAAACACAATTCACACAAACACAACACAAACACAATTCACACAAACACAACACAAACACAATACAACACAAACACAATTCACACAAACACAATACAACACCAACACGATTCACACAAACACAATTCACACAAACACAACACAAACACAATTCACACAATACAACACAAACACAATTCACACAAACACGATTCACACAATACAACACAAACACAATACAACACAAACACAATTCACACAAACACAATTCACACAAACACAACACAAACACAATACAACACAAACACAATTCACACAATACAACACAAACACAATTCACACAAACACGATTCACACAATACAACACAAACACAATACAACACAAACACAATACAACACAAACACGATTCACACAATACAACACAAACACAATACAACACAAACACAATTCACACAAACACGATTCACACAATACAACACAAACACAATACAACACAAACACAATTCACACAAACACGATAGCAGTGCAAAGTACAATAAATGTAAACAAATCACCCAAAAAACAAATCTACAAACAGGTTTTGCCCTTTCCGGCAATGAAACACGTGTTGAGATTTTAAAACGTCTAACATAAACCTTTTATTTTAAAATTGCCAGAACGGGTAAAACCGATTGTGCATATTTTGAAACATGCCAACTCAACGCTAAAACATCCCCATTCCTACCGGGCAAAGCCCCACTGAGGTGTCAGTGCCAAATTATATCGGCTCAACAAAGTGGCCTTGTCGCGTGGAATATCCACACCCATGTCAACCCATCTTGGTTCACCCCAATATTCTTTCTTGTGCAGGGAAATTGAGTTTTCTGGTCCTACAGCAGAGGTCGCACACGGGTTTTGATTCCTTACCCGTACCCGTACCCGGCCGCACCAGGGTCGGAAATGGGTACCCGTACCCATACCCGGCCGGGTACGGGTAGCCGTTCCCTACCCGTACCCGTACCCTACCCGAAACGAGTGACAAACGGTGACTCACCAGTGACTCACGGCCTACCCGTACCCGGTCGCACCAGGGTCACAAACGGCTACCCGTACCCGTACCCGGCTGGGTACGGGTAGCCGGGTATCGGGTAGGGTACGGGTATCGGGTACTCGGTTGCGACCTCTGTCCTACAGCCGTTGCGATACGGGCACAAAAATATAATTCTATTATGTTTGTGTTTCTCCCTTGTGATGGGACTTTGTGGGGTGAACGTTGATATTTATGAGGGGCACGGGGTGACCACTAAGGTTTTGAGTTGTTCTGTGATAAGGTCGGGCATTGATAAGGGGTTGACAGGCATGACATTCATATAGCAGCAAAATAAGCTTGATTACAGCCGCTCGCTCAAATCATCGTCATCGTCGTCATCATCATCATCACCGATGTTGCCTCTCCACTGCCGATGTGCTAACTTAGTTACTTGGAGGAGGAGGAGGCTGTCTAAGTGGGGGTTGGGGATCATTCGGAGTGGACGCAGAGGGAGCTTCGTATCTTTGTCGTCCCTCTGCAGCGGGACGAGTTGAGCGAGCGATCGGCCGAATCGGAGAATCAAGAGGCCCGGCTGTGGCAAGAGAAGGTAATCATCATCATCATCATCAGCAGCAGCAGATGCATTATCATTATCAGCAACAGCATCATCATCATCAGCAGCAGCATCAGCATCAGCAGCAGTATTATCAGCAGCATCAGCAGCAGCATCATCATCATCCGCATCATCATCATAATCAGCGGCAGAAGCAGCTTTATGTTTGCCATCAGCAGTATTTCGTACAATGCAATTCCGCTGCTGCATCTTCGTCGTTATCACCGCCGGTCTGCAAAATGTTCACAGTTCGAATCCGGCAGGCCGTCCTGGTTAGTGCTGCGGTGTTTATTAACCAAAAATGCCGCTGCTGGGACTACTACTACAGTACGACTACTACCACCACGTGCCGCCTGCTTCTCAGCAGGCTTTAAAGATCCCGTCACAGTGTTAGTGGTCAGCGCCAAGCTGCGCTATCAACCCGGCGACCCAAGTTCGATTCCCGCTCACGACCACCAGCGCCAGTGGCGATTATCAGAACCGGTCCGCGGCCTTCCGTTGGTCGACTCAAATAAGTACCTGGTATGGTGTGCGATGAACATCGCCACTGGGGAGACCAGGCGAAGTAGTTAACATCTCCTAGCCACCGTGATGATGATGAGAGAGAGACACGCAAACTCCACATATACAGCAGCAGGCGTCAGGGTCAGGATTGAACCCACGACCTCCTCTACACCAGGCGAGGTAGTTAACATCTCCTAGCTACCATGGGGTTCATGTCCGGGATGGAACCTACAATCTCCTGCGCACCGGGCGAGGTAGTTAACATCTCGCCACCAAGGCTACACAGGGGATCTTTGTCTTTGTACGCCTGCAGTGGTGCTGGCCACCCACCACCCCCCCCCCCCCCCCCTCGTGCACCGGGCTTTCACCGCTACTCTGCGAACAGCACTTGCCCCAGCGGTCTGCTTAAGGCTACACGGTGTGTGGGGCACCTTTGTCTTTGCAGTACTCGGGCCTGCGGCTGAAAGCGGCGGAGATGCGTCGCGAGTTTGAAGCGCGGCTCGCCCTCACGGCGGCGGACGCCCAGCGGCAACAGCAGCAGGAGGCCGGCAGCACGGACACCCTCGCCGAGGTGTGTGTTCACCTGTGTGTGTGTGCTCACCTGTGTGTGTGTTCACCTGTGTGTGTGTGTTCACCTGTGTGTGTGTGTGTTCATGTCTCCGTGTGTTCACTTGTGTGTGTGTTCATCTGTACGTGTGTTCACCTGTGTGTGTGTGTTCATGTCTCCGTGTGTTCACCTGTGTGTTTGTGTTCATCTCTGCGTGTGTGTTCACCTGTGTGTGTGTTCATCTGTGTGTGTGTTCACCTGTGTGTGTGTGTGTGTTCATCTCTGTGTGTTCACCTGTGTGTGTGTGTTCACCTGTGTGTGTGTGTTCATCTCTCCGTGTGTTCACTTGTGTGTTCATCTGTACGTGTGTTCACCTGTGTGTGTGTGTGTTCATGTCTCCGTGTGTTCACCTGTGTGTGTGTTCATCTGTGTGTGTGTTCACCTGTGTGTGTGTGTGTTCATCTGTGTGTGTGTTCACCTGTGTGTGTGTGCTCACCTGTGTGTGTGTTCATCTCTGCGTGTGTGTTCACCTGTGTGTGTGTGTTCATGTCTCCGTGTGTTCACTTGTGTGTGTGTGTTCATCTGTACGTGTGTTCACCTGTGTGTGTGTTCATCTCTGCGTGTGTTCACCTGTGTGTGTGTGTTCACCTGTGTGTGTGTTCACCTGTGTGTGTGTTCACCTGTGTGTGTGTGTGTTCATCTGTGCGTGTGTTCATCTGTGTGTGTGTTCACCTGTGTGTGTTCATCTGTGTGTGTGTTCACCTGTGTGTGTGTGTTCATCTGTGTGTGTGTTCACCTGTGTGTGTGTGTGTGCTCACCTGTGTGTGTGTTCATCTCTGCGTGTGTGTTCACCTGTGTGTGTGTGTGTTCATGTCTCCGTGTGTTCACCTGTGTGTGTGTGTTCATCTGTACGTGTGTTCACCTGTGTGTGTGTTCATCTCTGCGTGTGTTCACCTGTGTGTGTGTTCACCTGTGTGTGTGTTCATCTCTGCGTGTGTGTTCACCTGTGTGTGTGAGTTCATCTCTGCGTGTGTGTGTGTATTCATCTCTGCGTGTGTGTTCACCTGCGCGCGTGTGTACGTGTGTGTGTGTACGTTCATCTGCGTGCGTGCGCGTGTGTACGTGTGTGTGTGTGTACGTTCACCTGCGTGCGTGCGTGCGCGTGTGTACGTGTGTGTGTGTGTACGTTCACCTGCGTGCGCGCGCGTGTGTGCGTGTGTGTGTGTGTACGTTCACCTGTGCAGGTGAAGAAGGTGATGAACGGGGTGTTCCGCTCTCTGCGCTCCGAGTTCACCCTGGAGGGGACGTACAGCGGCCGCATGATCCTCGCCACCGTCATGAACACAATCAAGGTGCCACAGAGGCAAAGGTCCCCCGTGTAGCCTTACACAGACTGTCGGGGCAAGTGCTGTTAGCGAGCAGCGGCTATGAAGGCCGGCACGGCACACGAGGGGGTGGGGGGCCAGCACCACGCCCGGCCGCCTTTGTCTCCCCAGTGGCGATGTTTACTACACACCGCGCTAGGTACTCATTTAAGGCTGAGTCGACCTAGGGGAAGCCCAGGACCAGTTCAGATAATCGCTATGCGCGCTGACCGCTGCACCACCGCTTCTCACAAATAAAGCCACACACAGGCACACACACAGCCACACACAGGCACACACATACAGCCACACACAGCCACACACACACACACCCACACACAGGCACACACACACAGCCAAACACACACTGCCACACACACACACACACAGCCACACACAGGCACACACACACAGCCACACACACAGAGCCACACACAGGCACACACACACAGCCACACACACAGCCACACACAGGCACAGCCATACACAGGCACACACACACAGCCAAACACACACGCAGCCACACACAGGCACACACACACAGCCACACTCACACAGCCACACACACACAGCCACACACACACACAGCCACACACAGGCACACACACACAGCCACACACACACAAAGCCACACACACACAGGCACACACACACAGCCACACACACACACAGCCACACACACACAGGCACACGATGACCACACACTTGCACACACAGCCGTCACACTTTTGACAGATGCCTTCAGATCCCCGTGTCGTGTTCTCTGTGTGTCGTGCGTGTGTGTGCGTGTACACACGTGTGCGTGTGTGTGTGTGCGTGTACACACGTGTGCGTGTGTGTGTGTGCGTGTACACACGTGTGCGTGTGTATGTGTGTGTGCGTGTACACACGTGTGCGTGTGTATGTGTGTGTGCGTGTACACACACGTGTGCGTGTGTGTGTGTGTGCGTGTGCGTGTACACACGTGTGCGTGTGTGTGTGTGTACGTGTACACACGTGTGCGTGTGTGTGTGTGTGCGTGTACACACACATGTGTGCGTGTGTGCGTGTGTGTGTGTGCGTGTACACACACGTGTGTGCGTGCGTGCGTGACAACACAAGGCCACGACCCTCAGCCTCGTGAGCGGCTCCGAGTCGCCGGACGAACGCGGCGTCTCCGATTCCTCCTCCTCCGCCGCCGCCGCCGCCGTTCCGGCCTCCGAGCCCGAAACGTCGGACACCGCTCCCGACCGCCCGCCGTGCCAACCCCAAGGGCCCGGGATGGGGAGCACCAACGCCAGCGGTGACGTCGCCAACAGGAGCCTCGCGGCCTCGCGAAGACGCGGCTCCACTGTCCGTTGCGACGACGTCGGCAGTGGAGGAGGTGGAGGAGGTGGAGGAGGTGAAGGTGGTGGAGGAGGTGAAGGTGGTGGAGGTGGAGGAGGTGGAGGAGTTGGAGGAGGTGGAGCAGGTGAAGGAGGTGGAGGTGGAAGAGGTGGAGGCACCGCCGTCGCCGGGAGACGGAGCCTCGGAACCAACCGCCGGCGCCGCCGAAGGGATGGCAGCGGAGAGAGAATGTGACACCACAACCGTCACCACCACCACCACCACCAACTCCACCACCGCCGCCACGGTGGTGGTGGCGGTGACGGTAGCGGCCGGGGAGGAGGCGGGGAGCGGCGTTCCCGAGCGGCCGACGAGCGTTGCCGGAATGCCGCAGTAAGCCGGAATGTTTCGAGCGCCTCTTTGCGGCCCAAGATTGACGTAACACTACACCATAGACTCAACACTACACCATAGACTCAACACTGCCCATAGACTCAACACTGCCCATAGACTCAACACTGCCCATAGACTCAACACTACCCATAGACTCAACACTGCCCATAGACTCAACACTGCCCATAGACTCAACACTACCCATAGACTCAACACTACCCATAGACTCAACACTGCCCATAGACTGAACACTGCCCATAGACTCAACACTGTCCATAGACTCAACACTGCCCATAGACTCAACACTGCCCATAGACTCAACATTGCCCATAGACTCAACACTGCCCATAGACTCAACACTGTCCATAGACTCAACACTGCCCATAGACTCAACACTGCCCATAGACTCAACACTGCCCATAGACTCAACACTGCCCATAGACTCAACACTGTCCATAGACTCAACACTGTCCATAGACTCAACACTGCCCATAGACTCAACACTGCCCATAGACTCAACATTGCCCATAGACTCAACACTGCCCATAGACTCAACACTGTCCATAGACTCAACACTGCCCATAGACTCAACACTGCCCATAGACTCAACACTGTCCATAGACTCAATACTGCCCATAGACTCAACACTACCCATAGACTCGACACTACCCATAGACTCAACACTGCCCATAGACTCAACACTGCCCATAGACTCAACACTGCCCATAGACTCAACACTACCCATAGACTCAACACTACCCATAGACTCAACACTGCCCATAGACTCAACACTGCCCATAGACTCAACACTGTCCATAGACTCAACACTACCCATAGACTCGACACTACCCATAGACTCGACACTACCCATAGACTCAACACTGCCCATAGACTCAACACTACCCATAGACTCAACACTGTCCATAGACTCAACACTGTCCATAGACTCAACACTGCCCATAGACTCAACACTGCCCATAGACTCAACACTACCCATAGACTCGACACTACCCATAGACTCAACACTACCCATAGACTCAACACTGCCCATAGACTCAACACTACCCATAGACTCAACACTGTCCATAGACTCAACACTGTCCATAGACTCAACACTGCCCATAGACTCAACACTGTCCATAGACTCAACATTGCCCATAGACTCAACACTACCCATAGACTCGACACTACCCATAGACTCAACACTACCCATAGACTCAACACTGCCCATAGACTCAACACTGCCCATAGACTCAACACTGCCCATAGACTCAACACTGCCCATAGACTCAACACTGCCCATAGACTCGACACTACCCATAGACTCGACACTACCCATAGACTCAACACTACCCATAGACTCAACACTGCCCATAGACTCAACACTACCCATAGACTCAACACTGCCCATAGACTCAACACTGCCCATAGACTCAACACTACCCATAGACTCAACACTGCCCATAGACTCAACACTACCCATAGACTCGACACTGTCCATAGACTCAACACTGCCCATAGACTCAACACTACCCATAGACTCAACACTGCCCATAGACTCAACACTACCCATAGACTCAACACTACCCATAGACTCAACACTGCCCATAGACTCAACACGACCCATAGACTCGACACTACCCATAGACTCAACACTGTCCATAGACTTAACACTTGCCTGTAGGCTCAGCCCTTGTCCCAACAGTCTATGTAAGGCTATTCGGGGATCTTTGTCTTTGTTTGTGACTCAGGCAGCCACCATCTTCCGCGGGAGACGATGAGAAGGATGATGATGATGAGGAGCAGGAAGATGGAAACCTCTTCTCATACGAGGCGCCCAACAAGAAGGTTTCGCGCGACGACAGCGGAGTGAGTGTCGCCGTGGAAGAGTAGACCAAGCGATGCCAGTCCCTCGCTGAACGTGCGGCGGTGTTCACACACCGTTATAACGCAGAACGCACCGTTATAACACAGAACACACCATTAAAACACACCACACACCGTTATAACACACACCACACACCGTTATAACACAGAACACACCGTTATAACGCAGAACACACCGTTATAACACAGAACACACCATTATAACACACACACCGTTATAACGCAGAACACACCGTTATAACACAGAACACACCGTTATAACACAGAACACACCGTTATAACACACACACCGTTATAACGCAGAACACACCGTTATAACGCAGAACGCACCGTTATAACACACACCACACACCGTTATAACGCAGAACACACCGTTATAACACAGAACACACAGTTATAACACAACACACAGTTATAACACACACCATTATAACGCAGAACACACCGTTATAACACAGAATGCTCACACCGTTATAACACAGAACACACACCATTATAACGCAGAACGCACCGTTATAACACACACCGTTATAACACAGAACACGCACCATTATAACGCAGAACGCTCACACCGTTATAACGCAGAACACACACCGTTATAACGCAACACACCGTTATAACACACACCGTTATAACGCAACACACCGTTACAACGTAGAATACACACCGTTATAACACCGGGGGGAGTTGGGGTGGTTTAAGAATCTCGCCCCCCCCACTCCCCCCCATCGTTTCCACTGCCGTGCCCCGGAAGATGGAAAATCGGGCGGCGCTGCCGACCGTTACTCCGCTACTGTGCGGGGGGGGGGGGCTTGCACGCGCAGTAACGAGCGATCGTGTTCGTGGTTTCTTTCAGAGTCCTGTTGACAAACCTGGACCACCTCCGCTCTTCGGAGATGATGAAGAAGACGACGATGATGTGGATTGGTTGAAATGAAGATGTCTGTGTGTGTGTACGTGTGTGTACGTGTGTGTGTGTATGTGTGCACACATTTGTGTGTGTGTACGCGTGTGCGTGTGGGCACTTGTGTGTGTGTGTGTGCGCGTGTGTGTGTGTACGTGTATGTGTGTACGTGTGTGTGCGCACATTTGTGTGTGTGTACGTGTGTGTACGTGTGTGTGCGCACATTTGTGTGTGTACGCGTGTACGTGTGTGCGCGTGTGTTCGTGCGCGTGTGCGGGCGTGTGTGTGCGTGTGTGTACGTGTGTGGGCATGCGCGCACAGCAAGTTGGCACAGTAGGGGGCACAGGCGGTGCATCAGTCATCTCAGTCGACCCGTGCCAGCGGGCGTTCGACACTTCACGTGGCCTCAACATGCACATGGCCTGGCACAAGCGTCGTGGTGACATCACCGCCACTTAGTGGCGAATGGCGGTTGTTGTTGTGCGTGCGCGCGGTTAAAGCCTGTGTCCCTGGCAAACCTGAGTTCAGCCAACATCGGTGGCAAGTGATATCTGAACCGGTCTTGCGCCACCTCTAGGTCGACTCAGCCTTAAGCGAGTACCTGGTGCAGTAGGCTACACAGGGGATCTTTTTTTTGTGTGTTGAATCGCGTGGCTGCGTGCTGTAAGAAGAACCCTTATCATGGTGGGTCCTTGTACTGCTTAATACGACCAACAGACCTCGGTTCGATTGCTGCCCCTGTTACATATACAGGGTCTAGTAAACATTCTGCAACGTTGGGCCAACTCGGGTTGATGCCGAGACAACGTTTGCGTGTTTAAGAGGAGGATCGGTAGGCCAGCATGATGGATGCTCTAATAATTTTTGGATTGCATCTGAGAAAAAAATGGACCGAGATTGCTAATTATAATCTGGAAAATCGAATTGATTTGGATTGATTACTAAAATGTGATGTTACCGGAAGTGACCGCGAAACCGATGACTTCAAAGGAAGTGAAATCGCTCGCGTGTGCCATCACAGGAAGTGACATCACTCACGTGCGTGCCAGCACAGGAAGTGACATCACTCACGAGTGTGTCATCACAGGAAGTGACATCACTCGCGTGTGTGCCATCACAGGAAGTGACATCACTCGCGTGTGTGCCATCACAGGAAGTGACATCACTCACGTGTGTGTGTGCCAGCACAGGAAGTGACATCACTTGCGTGTGTGCCAGCACAGGAAGTGACATCACTTGCGTGTGTGCCATCACAGGAAGTGACATCACTCGCGTGTGTGCCATCACAGGAAGTGACATCACTTGCGTGTGTGCCAGCACAGGAAGTGACATCACTTGCGTGTGTGCCATCACAGGAAGTGACATCACTCGCGTGTGTGCCATCACAGGAAGTGACATCACTCGTGTGTGCCATCACAGGAAGTGACATCACTCGTGTGCCAGCACAGGAAGTGACATCACTAGTGTGCCATCGCAGGAAGTGACATCACTCGTGTGTGTGCCATCACAGGAAGTGACATCACTCGCGTGTGTGCCATCACAGGAAGTGACATCACTCGCGTGTGTGCCATCACAGGAAGTGACATCACTCACGTGTGTGCCATCACAGGAAGTGTCATCACTCACGTGTGCCAGCACAGGAAGTGACATCACTCATGTGTGCCATCACAGGAAGTGACATCACTCATGTGTGTGCCATCACAGGAAGTGACATCGCTCATGTGTGTGCCATCACAGGAAGTGACATCACTCGTGTGTGCCATCACAGGAAGTGACATCGTCTCCACGGCGGTAACGCCCTTTTCGCCAAATGCGCTGTCGCGGTGACGCCCCTTGTTGCTCAAACGGTTCAAGATATTAAAATGTTCACGTTAAAATCACGGCTTTTGCTGGTGGAACTCGATGGTCGAGTTAAAGATTCGGTGATGAATAATGTGAAACGTAAAACACGACTGCATTTCGCAAGTTATTAAGATGTAATACATTTACGTACAAAAATCTAATAAATTGTGGAACTTGCCTAAATATCCGAAATCTGATTTTTCTGGAAAAATGAAAATATACTAAAAAGTCGTCATCGCAAGCGTGTACCTCCGATTGGCTACGTACGGTGCCAAAGAAGTTAAACACAAGCAAAGGTCTATCCAATCACCAGCATTGCTTTCAAGCAATCCTGACTGCAGATCAGACACTGCCAAAACTGGTCCAGAGTTCTGCTTGTCTTGAGGCAATTCGTCTGGATAACACGCACTCGCACAGAAGGCCATGCAGCCGATGAGGCAAGGCCGCGTTGGCTGGGTCACATAGGGGCCGTCCATAAATGACGTCACGCACCTAGGGGGGGGGGGTGTTGAGAGATGTGACGTCACATCAAAATGCGCAACTTTAAATAAATATAGACAACACGTTCTACTTAATTAAATAGGCTTTTTAATAAATGTTTTCTCCTACAACATCAGAGTGCAGCGCCACATTAAATACGCACTACAATGACAATAGTTTAAAGCGATTTGAAGCATATGTTTTTTGGGGGGAGGGGCAGAGCTTTGTGACGTCATATTTGAGGGGGGGTCTGACTTTTTGTGACGAGGGGGGGGAGGGTCAAAAATCGTCCAAAATCTCGTGACGTCATTTATGGACGGCCCCATTGCCCGCATGCTTCAAGCAAACTTCTGTTGTGGCCGGATCGAGGGGGCTAAACCGGCACGACACGGGCTGGAGAAGAGATGGAGTGATGCGGTACGGGAGGACGTGGAGCTGAGTGGACTTGCCGACGACTGATTCCAGCGGTGTCAAGATCGGCCTCTGTGGAGGAGGCTCGTGAAGGACGCTACTGGGCAGTTTGAGGAAGTCACCCTCCAACAACAACAGGACAGAGGAGCAATGCTCACAACAACGAGCGGAGCCCCAGGCAGCTAAAATACAGCAAGTTGGCACAGTAGGGGTACAGCTGGTGGTGCATTTGTCAGTCATCTCAGTCAGCCAATTCATGGCACCTGCTGGGTCTGGCCCGAGACCTCCTGCACCTAGCCTGGCACAGTAGGGGGTACAGCTGGTGGTGCATCTACCGGTCATCTCAGTCAGCCAACCCGTGGCACCTGCTGGGTCTGTCCCGAGACCTCCTGTCAGCAGCGAGCCTTCGACACGTCACGTGGTCTCAGTGCACCTAGCCTGGCACAGGCACCGTGCAGACGTCACCGTCACTTAGTGGCGAATGGTGCGGGTAGTGGTGTTGAGACGGCTTCTTAGCTGAGGAGTGCGCACAGTACACACGCACTGTGTTGTGCTATGTATCTTTGTGTGTGTGTCTGTGCGTATCTGTGTGTATCTTTGTGTGTGACGGTAGCCTACTGATTATCACTGGTCAACACACTTTTTCTGGCATAAGGTATTCCAACGGTTCATCTTCTTGGTTCTTTCGGTAAAGTCACGTAGAATGGAAATAATGAAATAATAAAAATAAAATATTATAAAATAATTCTCACGACGTTTCGGCCACAACGCAAGCAGCCGTCCTCAGGTGAAGAACAGGTCTGTCGAGAAGACACGAAACGTCGTGAGAATTATTTTATTATGTTTTATTTTTATTATTTTATTATTTCCATTCTACGTCACTTTATCGAAAGAACCAAGAAGATGAATCCCTGCAGTCACGAAAGCTTTAAATCGAAATTTATTCCAACGGTTTTAAGGTAATTGTGTCTATCACATCAGGTTTTTGAGATATCAAATATTGCATTTTCAATAAAAACTGCAGAAGAAAAATATTAAATAAATGTGGATATCTACATAAAATGATATTATAAACACACTATCCTAAAAATACAGCTCCATATTTTAACACTAAAGCAGTCACTGACTCGCAACAACTTGCAATCATAAGTGACAGAGTTAATTTCGGGTAAGATCAATGAAAATGGGGTATGCCGATAGCATAAAATGAGATGTGATAGAGCAAATCTGAGATCAGATTTGGAATCGGCACCCTGAAATTAGTCTAAAACTGCTGCAAAAGTCCAGGCCAGAAAAAAAATATTTTTTTTGTTGTTGACCAGTGTTAGCATACATGACACAATGCTGTCCCACGCCCGGCCACATAGCCGTATACATCAGAGGTCGCAAACGGGTTTTGATTCCTTACCCGTACCCGGCCGCACCAGGGTCGCAAACGGGTACCCTTACCCGGCAGGGTAACCCCCCCTTTAAAACCCGTACGTCCAGGGAGGTTGTTTTCGTTTTTTTAAATCTGTCGCGATCACTTTTGCGCGTCTTTGTGTTCCTTTCTTGCAAAAAAATAAACAAAATTTTACTTCGTTTTTTAAAACGTTTTTTTTTTTTACAAATTTCCAAACCACTGCCCCTTCGCGTGTGCTCACGAGTTGGTGGACGTGCCGGGGAGCGCGTTGCGTGGTGTGTGTGTGTGGTGGTGTGTGTGTGTGTAGTGGTGTGTGTGTGTAGTGTGTGTGTGCATTTCGTAGTGTGTAGGGCGTGGTGTGTGTGTGGTGGTTGTCTGTGTGTGTGTGTATTGCGTGGTGTGTGTGTAGTGCGTGGGGTGTGTGTAGTTGTGTGTGTGTGTGGTGTCTGTGTGTGTGTATTGCGTGGTATGTGTGTAATGTTGTGGTGTGTGTGTGTAGTTGTGTGTGTGTGTATTGCGTGGTGTGTGTTTGTGGCGTGTGTGTGTAGTGGTGTGTGTGTAGTGCGTGGGGTGTATGTGTAGTTGTGTGTGTGTAGTGCATTGTGTGTGTAGTGGTGTCTGTGTGTGTGTGTAGTGCATTGTGTGTGTGTAGTGGTGTGTGTGTAGTGCGTGGTGTGTGTTTGTGGCGTGTGTGTAGTGCGTGGGGTGTGTGTAGTGGTGTGTGTGTAGTGTGTGTGTGGTGTGTGTGGTGGTGTGTGTGTGTAGTGGGGTGTGTGTGTAGTGCGTGCTTTGTGTGTGTGTGTGTAGTGTGTGTGTGCATTTCGTAGTGTGTATGTGTGTGGTGTTGTGTGTGTGTAGTGGTGTGTGTGTGTATTGCGTGGTGTGTGTGTGTAGTGGTGTGTGTGTGTCGTGGTGTGTGTATATTTCCTAGCGTGTGTGTGTGGTGTAAGTGGGTAGTGGTGTGTATGTGTGTGTATTGCGTGGTGTGTGTATTTCCTAGCGTGTGTGTGTGCTCAAGTCACCAGCCCGGCCAAGGCAAACAAGACGTTGCCTTTGAAGGACAGACACCGCCAGTGTGTCAGCACCAGCGAGTCTTCTGCAGTCTCTATGAATGAGTCTACTATCCCCTTGACTCCAGCCTCGCCGCCACCACCACCGCCACCACCACCGCCACAAACCACGTCTACAACGCAAAGCGCCCATCTCTCCGTGCCACTCAAGCTGTCTTTAGTCTGGCTCTATGAGCGCCCGGTGTTAACACTGAACCATGAATTACTAAAGGTGCCTTGAGTCTGGATCTATGAGTCTCCGATGTTAACATTGAACCATGAATCACTAATGATGCCCTTAGTCTGGCTCAATGAGCCTCAGGTGTTAACACTGAACCATGAATCACTAATGATGCCCTTAGTCTGGCTCTATGAGCCCCCGGTGTTAACACTGAACCATGAACTACTAATGGTGCATTGAGTCTGGCTCTATGAGCCCCCGGTGTTAACACTGAAAAATGAATTACTAATGGTGTCTTTAGTCTGGCTCAATGAGCCCCCGGTGTTAACACTGAACCATGAACTACTAATGGTGCATTGAGTCTGGCTCTATGAGCCCTCGGTATTAACACTGAAAAATGAATTACTAATGATGCCCTTAGTCTGGCTCTATGAGCCACCGGTGTTAACACTGAATCATGAATTACTAATGGTGTCTTTAGTCTGGCTCAATGAGCCCCCGGTGTTAACACTGAACCATGAACTACTAATGGTGCATTGAGTCTGGCTCTATGAGCCCTCGGTGTTAACACTGAAAAATGAATTACTAATGGTGCCTTGAGTCTGGCTCTATGAGCCCTCGGTGTTAACACTGAAAAATGAATTACTAATGATGCCCTTAGTCTGGCTCAATGAGCCCCCGGTGTTAACACTGAATCATGAATTACTAATGGTGCCTTGAGTCTGGCTCTATGAGCCCCCGGTGTTAACACTGAATCATGAATCACTAATGATGACCTTAGTCTGGCTCTATGAGCCACCGGTGTTAACACTGAACCATGAATCACTAATGATGCCCTTAGTCTGGCTCTATGAGCCACCGGTGTTAACACTGAACCATGAATCACTAATGATGCCCTTAGTCTGGCTCTATGAGCCCCCGGTGTTAACACTGAATCATGAATCACTAATGATGACCTTAGTCTAGCTCTATGAGCCCCCGGTGTTAACACTGAACCATGAATCACTAATGATGACCTTAGTCTGGCTCTATGAGCCCCCGGTGTTAACACTGAATCATGAATCACTAATGATGCCCTTAGTCTGGCTCTATGAGCCCCCGGTGTTAACACTGAACCATGAATCACTAATGATGCCCTTAGTCTGGCTCTATGAGCCACCGGTGTTAACACTGAACCATGAATCACTAATGATGCCCTTAGTCTGGCTATATGAGCCCCCGGTTTTAACACTGAACCATGAATCACTAATGATGCCCTTAGTCTGGCTCTATGAGCCCCCGGTGTTAACACTGAACCATGAATCACTAATGATGACCTTAGTCTGGCTCTATGAGCCCCCGGTGTTAACACTGAACCATGAATTACTAACGGTGCCTTGAGTCTGGCTCTATGAGTCTCCAGTATTCTCCAACTCTTTAAGAATCCTAGTAGCACCTTAGTCTGCCTCTATGAGCCATTGGGCATTCATGCTGAACTTTAAGAATCTTAAAGGTGCCTCATTATGTATTCATTCCCAGAGGGTGTGAGAAGGGGGGGGGATGACCCCTCCCTTAACCCCCCCCCCCCATCACCCCCATCCCCCTCGATCACCGATTCGGTCTCAAAACCCTGAGATGAAATTCGACCCTGAGCCCTGGGGGCCTATTGATGGCATCGTGGA